CCGCAGCCAATGTGCTGTACGGGGAGTATATGTTAGCTAAGCAGCGTTGGCGTAGGTTCTCCGGAAGGCCCCCCAAGACGGTATAGGAAGAATCATTTCAACCGAGGCAAGTTCCAAAAGCAACATCGTCATTTGTCTCAGAGTCCTCTGGCACGAGCCTTTGCGTCGTTTCTGCCACCAAAAGCTTTCGTTGCCAATCGTAACCCAGGCCAACCTAAGAGAGGTCCCAGCGGTGCCCGAAAGAACCCCAAGGGTCGTGATCATGATGGTCAAGTGCTAAACTGCCATAAATGTGGTAGTGAGGAACAGTGTCCGCAGAACGTGCAAAAGAGTGGAGCCTTAGGTTCATCATATGCAGCCATCAACCTTGGCACCTTAAAGTCTCTTCCCTCCATGCATGTCCATATGACACATGCTCCTCAGTTCGCACAGTCCGTATCGAGCCGTTCGACCGTTCAGGATGATCTTGAATCACTCCGCACCACGTCTTCGAAGAAGAGGACAGCCAAGGAAGTGAGTCAGGAAGACCAGAAGCCGTCGGCAGCCGCAGGACAAACTGCCGGAACTGAGTCTTGGATGACATGGCTCAGTGATCAGTCCGTGCCAATGTCTGAACAGTCGCTCATAGGACCACCAGCAGTAGAAGGAGCGGAGCATCGGGTGTGGAAGTCGCGTGCCACTCCATCTCTCCAGGGGTCAGAAGCATCCACGTCCCGAAAGCAAGACCTAGCTAAGACTCCTTCCAGTGCATCCTCACCATCGCCAAGCAAGGGTAGTTTAGGGCCCCCCGGATAAGAAAGAAGTTGAGCAGAAGAAAGAAGCTCAGGCAGCAGTGACACTGCAGCTGTCCCAGTTAATTGCTGCATGGCCTCGACAACCCACAGATACGTTCGCAAACTACTATGTCAAGCAACCCGTTTCTGTTTGTAGGACAGCCTGCAGCGCAGCCATCCAGTCAGCCGAGCGTTCCCACACAGAATCAGGGCCAACCAGCCGACAGTGAGATGCAAGGTCATGATGCAGGTGTAGACGCCCACGGTCACTGGCCGTGGTGGGAAAGAACTTTGGCCCCTTCTGGTTTGAGCTATCACTCCATGAGCACAAGGTGTCCAGACAGTCGCATTGGTTTGCTTGTCGACCCCGGTGCCCATGATAACCTGTCAGGAGAATCGACTCTTCGTGTTTTGGCCCGCCAAGCGACAGGTGATGATGTGTTTGAGGAAAAAGAACTTGACAGACCGTTGAGGGTTGCCGGCGTCGGTCGAGAAGCTCAAGAGACAGTAAAGGCCGGCAAGGTTCGTTTCCGCGTCCGGGACCAGAACGGCGCATTAGTGGATAGCTCATACACAGCACCATACATTGCTCATTCTTCGCTGCCCAACCTGCTAGGATTGAAATCGCTTCGTGAAAAGAAAACCTCTAAGTATGAGATATTACAAGGTGGACAACCCGTGGAAACTCTTGGTAATTTCTGATAGTTCTTTTAAGGGTGAGGACCAAAAAGCCCTTGCAATGAAGAGTGGAATAATTGCTTTGGGCAATAAAAATGGCCCGATTGTGGGTAACAATCCTCTTCAAGTTCTAGAATTTGTCAGTAAAAAGCAGTCAAGGGTTTGCAGAAGCACGTTCACCGCTGAGTTATACGCAGCATTAGACTTGATTGGTCTTGCAAACAACATTAATTTGGCACTCAGTGAGATCTTGGAAGGAAAGAAAACGGCCAGAGACCTGGCAGACCTTCAAGAGAATGGTGTCAATGTTCTTCAGACCGACTTGGTAATCGACACTCAAAGTGTTTTCACAAGTGTGGCAGCTGCAGACACCAAAACTACGACAGATCCCTTAATGTTAATACACGCGTTAAAACTAAAGGAGATACTGAGCTTAAGAATCGCTAACCGACTTTTGTGGGCAGACACTCGTGATCTTCTTGCAGACGGCTTGAACAAAGGCACAGTTGATCGCAATGCATTGCGACTACTTTGTTTTGCGGGAAAATGGGCGATCAATCACCAAATGAAGACCCAACCTGAGTCGAACGGTACATGCTCACTAAGGCACCTGCTTACTGAGGTCACTGGAAAGTTGACAGGTTATCTTTTCACCAGAAAGCTCCCAGGATATCTTGCACCATCAGCCGCTTGGCTCAAGCGTGCGCAGCAGTTCAAGATGCCTTGAAGGCCGGTAGTTTCACTCTGAATCCCGACGCCATGCATGTGCAACGAAAAGGGTGTGATGCGGTGTTGGGAGAACGGTTCCTGCTGCCCAGTTGTTTTGACTTTGAGGCCATTGCTTTTTAGGTTTGAGGCCATCGCTACTGGGTTGGAGCCCAGCGCTATTAGGTTGGAGGCCATCGCTATTAGGGTGGAGGCCATCGCTATTAGGGACGCCATCGCAATTAGGTCGGAGGCTAGGGTGGAGGCCACCGCTACTATGTTGGCCATCGCGATTTAGGCTGAGCCAGGCCATCACTATCAGGTTGGAGGCCATTGCTACTCGCTATGAGGCCAGCGGTTTTAGGTTGGAGGCCATCGCTACTAGGTTGGAGGCCATCGCTTTTGGGTTGGAGGCCATCGCTATCAGGTTGGGGGCCATCGCCCATCGCTAGTATAGGTTGGAGGGCATCGCTGTTAGGTTGGAGGCCATCGCTATCAGGTTGGAGGCCATCACTATTAGGTTGGAGGCCCTCTTCTAGGTTGGAGGCCATCGCTACTAGGTTGGAGGCCAGGTTGAAGGCCATCGCTACTAGGTTGGAGGCCGTCGCTATTAGGTTGGAGGTCACCGCTGTTAGGTCGGAGACCGTCGCTATTAGGTTGGAGGCCATCGCTACTAGGTTGGAGGCTCTCGCTATTAGGTTGGAGGCTGTTGCTATTGGGTCGGAGGCCATTGCTATTATGTTGGAGGCCATCGCTCTGGAGGCCATCGCTACTAGGCTGCAGGCCATCGCTATTAGGTATAGGAGGCCATCGCAACTAGGTTGGAGGCCATCGCTATTAGGTTGGAGGCCGTTGCTGTTAGGTTCGAGGCCATCGCTATTCGGTTGGAGGGCATCGCTACTAGGTTGGAGGCCATTGCAACTGGGTGGGAGGGCATCGCTATTAGGTTGGAGGTCATCGCTATTAGGTTGGGGGGCCATGCCATCGCTATTCGGTTGAAGGCCATCGCTACTAGGATGGAGGTCATCGCAATTAGGCTGGAGGCCATCGCTATTAGGTTCCAGGCCACTGCTATTGGGTTGGAGGCCATTGCTGGAAGCAATCGCTATGGAGGCACTATTAGGTTGGAGGCCATCGCTATTAGGGTGGAGGCTATCGCTACTAGGTTGCAGGTCATTTGTATTGGTTGGAGGGCATCACTATTAGGTTGGAGGCGATCGCTATTAGGTTGGAGGCCATCGCTACTGGTTGGAGGCCATCGCTACTAGGCTGGAGGCCATCGCTATTAGGTTGGAGGTCATCGCTATAGGGCTGGAGGCCACCGCTATTAGGTTGGAGGCCATCGCTATGGAGGCCATCGCTATTAGGCTGGGCATCATTGAAGTTCGATTCGAGTGAGCACCCGTGCGGCAGGGAGCAACGAATGGCACGGCCCCTGAGGAGAAGAAAAGAAGGGGTAGGCCGAAGGAGAATAGTTGCGTTCCAGATTTCCAAGAGCAAGTCAGCATCAAAGGCTATGCGCTATTCCGAGCTTTGGAAAGGACTTGAACGCGCCGAAGAGGCCCCAGACTCCCAAAGCCAAAGTTGCACCCTGAAGCAATGACAAGATCATACAGACAAATACTATACCATCATATCTTCACCATCTTGTTTGTGACCCTCTTTTTCCAAGGTCCAAATGCCAGCGCGTGAACGCTTGAGGACTGAGAGGCTTGGCCAAAAATCGATGTCGAAACCAGATTTCTGTGAGCTGGTCCCAATGCAAAAGGAAGTGCTTTCTGTGCAGGCCCGAGCTGGCCACAGACCTGAAAGGAATGTTCATGGCTTTGAATGAAGTGTGGGAGCAGGCGGGCATCCTGGAGTGGCAGTACGTAGTGTTCTGCTCTATTTCGTTCGTGATTCTTGTGAGAACTTTTGTACTTGCAGTGTTTTTGTCACTGGACTGCTCGTTTGAATTGAAGGTGCCCCAGGAGGAAAAAGATAAGCTGCAGAAAGAGCGACTTGGACGGATTCCAGTCTCAGAGGCTCAATTCCGGTAAAAAATAATTATCCCACTCAGGTATGAAGAAGAGATGGAAATTTGGAAGCCCAAGTGGGAGGCATACAAAAAGACTGACTCCTACAAAGAGTTCTGCTTGCTCAAGCAGGAGCTTTGCAGTTTTGACAGCACCCAGAGTTTATATAAGTGTATAAGTGAAGCGGAAGTTAGTCGCTTGGTTCTTTGTGCTTGGTTCTAAACAGTATTTGCCGTCTACTTGTTTGGAGATGCTTGTAGCCAACTCTGGTAGCGGACTCCAGCGACTTTCACGGATGCTATGTCGTGCAGAGGAGTACAAGGACAAGAAAGAGAAGAAAAAGTTCTTGAAGGCAGAATCAAAAAAAGGCTCCCAAGAGGCAAGGTCAGTGTTAGATGCTGTGATCCACAACTCTGACACGTCCCACACTGGACGTCAGAATGCCAGATAAGCTTGGTAGCTGCACATATTGACAATCTTTGATTGAGGAATATTTTTTTAACCGTACATAACTTCTCATTCTCATTATATATATATATATACATATGTGTATATATACTTGCAGCGTTGTCAATGCGCAATGCTGGGAACCGGGTCCATGGTCCAGGTATTAGACAATTGCAATTCTCGAGTTTTCAGGCCCAAGTCTGGCTACGCTCTTTTCTGCGATGAAATCCGGGATCGGGTCAAGGAGGCCGAGCCCTCACAGTCGCTCTGATTCGTGTTGTCAGCCTGCAGGATTCTTCTCGAGGAGCCACTCGAATTTTCTTCGAAGAGCATGCTCGGGATTTTGCTCCTTGTTTGAAGCAGACCTGCCTGTCAGGAAGTCATGGCCAAGGGTGGAAGCATGGGTGACATTGGAAAGAAGATGTCTGAGGAATGGAATGCGTACGAACCTTAAAAACTTGCAGCCAAATGCAGGTTTAGTATAGCCACTTGCTGTACATGTATGACATACCAGCCGTAACATGATATATAAATTGAGTTCTTGCTGTTTGTCAGTCAGTGTTTCCTTTTGAGAGCGCGGATGGGGTTAAATTAAGTTGAAAGGGTGATAGAACTAGAGCTGGCAGTCTTCATGCCGAGCTTTCGTCCTTGCCAGATTTCAATTGATGCAGCATTGCACCACACTGCTCGCAGGGTTCCTGAGACAAAGAAGGCAGAATACCAGGAGATGTCGCAGGCACAGAAAGAGGAGCAACTCGTCCTTGCTGTGGTGGAGCTATATAATTGCTCACGAGTCATGAGTCGAAATCTTCAAGTCCACTGCGTACGAATCCGTTGGGAACTGAGGTTTCAAGTCAAGTTCGCAGAATACAAAACAACCCAGGACTTCAAGGCGAAGCTAAGGGTTGGCAAGTGCAAAAAGCTGAGCAGAAGAGGGTCAACATATAATCAACAGGGTTGGGATGTGTCGGAGGGTTGGAAAGGAAAAGCCGGGCTTGATTTGCGGCTCCACATGATTTTTAATACAATCTCCTTGCATAAAAAAAAGAAGAATCTATTAGGTTTGAGGCCATCGCGGACATTACTACTAGTAACAAGAAGCTACTAGTAGCAAGGACGCTATTAGGTGGAGGCCATCGCAAGTAGGTTGGAGGCCTCGAAAGTGATTTTGTGCATGGGAGGACTTCCAGCTGAAGAAGGCTAAGATGGATGGCCGACACGCGCTGAATGCATTGACCAGGACCACCCACAAGGACTCAGAGCGATTGGCTTGATGTGTGGTGGCTTTTGGTAGCTTGGTGTAGAAAACAGTCCAGGTGTACCAAGATCTGCTGTTTTGATGCGTTTTGTCCGGTCGTGTCCGCTGGTGTTTGTGTGTTTGCCGTGGTAGTTCCACCAGTGCTGCCCCAGTTTTGACTCTTGCACAGTCCACTTTCTGGCTGCGTCGACCGATGCTCAAGGATGACCAGATGACCTTTACCGGTTCAGACTGTAGCACTGTTTGGTTCCACTGCTTAACTCAGGACAAACATTCAGTGTTTGATGAGTCTGCCTTTCAGAGCCCAATTCGCATGCGTCCTGCACCAATGTCTTTTCAAGAGCACCAGGCGTCCGGCATCCAGAAACCGAGTAGCTGAGTAGCTCTTGAATGTTTGCTGATAGAGCCATGGCGCAAACACTGTCCAGAGAGCGCTTAGTGCAGTTGATCTCAACGCTTTTATCTAAACAAGGTGCCACAATGGTGGCAGAGGTAGAGAAGCGCATTGCCAGTGGTGAGGGGTTGGAGGTGAAGGGCATCAAAGTGGATACAAATATTCTACTAGACGCTTTAGAGTTGCACAGTGCCGGGCAAGCGCCTCCAGAAGCTCTCAAAGAAGAGCCTCGGGTAAGTGCACGTTGGTGCCCTGCTGGCTCCGGTGGATCTCGATGGAGCCCAGGCGAGGCATCGTCTTCGTTGTTGACAAGCAAAGCCATTATGGAATGTGAAGCAGCCGAGCCCTTTTCTCGTAATGTCCAAGTCTTAGCTGAGACTCCAATTTTCCCAAGACCAGATGTGCTGGAAAAGCCTTTGGAGAACCTGTTGCCTACCGGACAGCGGGAGGTTGTTGCTCGCTTCCTCTCACGTAGAGACGGCCGCGTTTACTTGCGCCTGAAGGCGGAAACTGGTTGGATTACAACTCGTTCTTGTGAGGACCTGGCGATAGTGGTGCTGACACCTGAGGAGAAAGCGGAGCCATTGGAGCCTGCAAAGTTCAGGACATGGCCTTTGAAGTCACCTGCTTTCGACACATTGCCAGTCCTTGAGAGTGCCGAGGAAGCTGAAAATGTGGCCCCAGCTGAGAAAGATGAGCAAGCAGCTGAGAAGGATGAAGAGAGTGAAGATGCTGGGGATGGTGCAGCTGGAAGTGACCAGGAATTTCCAGAATCACCTGTGCCAGGCACCGATGAGGAGGTGGAAAGCCAATCTTGTGAGGAGTCTCTTCTGGAGGATGCAGAACATGCAGACGACCATGAGGAAGAATTTGGAAGTCAAGACCATCCTGAAGATTCTGCCCATGCTGCACCGAAGGTTAAGCGACGCCTGGTGCGAAAGTTCCGGATCATCTCAGGACGAACGCCAATCTTGCGGCAACCAGGCATGCCTGAGCTGTTTCGGAGTGGCCAGAAGATGCTTCAGAAGGGGGAGACCTTTTTAGCTGATGGTGTGTACTGGGCCAAGTCTGAGCAACGGGCTTATCTCCGAATGACCAGAGGCCTCGGGTGGATTTGCGAGCGGTCCAAGAATGACCTGTGGCGGTTGAGCATAGTCCGCCTCTCTCAAAGGAAAGCCCCAGTAAGTAAGAAGATGGCACGTGCAGTGGCATTCAGAGGAGGTGATACAGGTGGGGTGATCCGCTTACAGAAAGACGATCTGACCAAGAACAGCCGGGGAAGGATAGTCAGCAAACGAGCGTCAGAAGCAGCCAAGAAGCGAAACAATGAGAACTTTGGGAAGTGGACTGAGGCCGTAAAGCGAGCCAGGATGGATCTCAATGTGTCAGGCTTTGCAGCAGTAAAGAAAGGTACGGAGCTCTATGAAAAGGCACAAGAACATTTCAAAGCCTTGAAATGAGGAGGGGGGCGGTGCGCTCTTCTTGGACTCTGGGCATCTCCAGTAGGCCCTTTGAGCCCAACAGGTGCAACTTGCCCGCATGTACATTTGCTTTCTACCAAGTGCCCTTTGTGGGCGTTTCACCAAGAGGGACAAAAGCACACCGGCAATCTAGCAGGACCATGAAGGTGGCAGATTGAGATTCCCAAGCGCAGATTTCAGATCGCCATGCTGTCGGATTCATCCACAACACCTGTTGCGTGTTTGTGACAGGATGCCCCGACAAAGCCGGCCAATGCTTTCTCCCTATGGAAGGCCAAGCACCTGAAAGAAGTCATGGAGGCTGGATGGCAGCGATAAAATGTAAGCTTTGCTGATGAAGTATGTACTACATACGGTATCCAGATCCAGAGACCAGTCACTTTTTTTTGGAGTGGACCCGATTTGCAGGAGAAGAAGGGTGCCAGTGCAGGTGAGCTCAGCTGCTTGGCCGAGGTATGCAGCATGACTGGGCATGGCCACCTTTCGCTACATTTGTTTGGCTTGTTCTTTAAGGCTTTAGGTTGGAGGCCATCGCTCTTAGGTTGGAGGCCATTGCCCTTAGGTTGGAGGCCATTGCTCTTAGGTTGGAGGCCATCGCTCTTAGTTTGGAGGCCATCGCTCTTAGGTTGGAGGCCATTGCTCTTAGGTTGGAGGCCATCGCTCTTAGTTTGGAGGCCATCGCTTCTAGGTTAGAGGCCATCGCTCTTAGGTTGGAGGCCATCGCTCTTAGGTTGGAGGC